TTGCTGGGTGATATCCAAGTCATGACCGAAGTTTCATAGATTGTGTTCGCCATGTCGCACAGTGCATGGCTGGGGCACAACTCACCAGTCAGATCTAAACCCCTCAGACGCCTTTGTTGAGCTGACAACCGGGCCCGGCGCTCAGCCGGAGGAATTCGCTTGATGTTCTGTGCACCCTCAGGGCCCTCGGTCCCTGTGACATGCTCCTTAAGTACCGCAACAACAAAAGCAGTGGCTTCGAAGTGCAAAGTGCGAAGATCCGCGACCTGAGACAGCGACGGCGCGCCAACAAACACTTCTGAAGCAAAACTCTGAAAATCAGCTTCACTCGGTGCAGTCTGCGGAGTGCCGATGGCGAAGGCGAGTTTGCGGAAAGATTTGATGTTCTTTGCCTCAAGAAGGGTTCGGAGACCAGGCGCGATTTCATCGCACCGCTGGAAAAAGGCAGCTTCCGACTCGACCAGCGACATGATGCGGGTATATCGCTTCACTCTACTCGAGCCCAGGAGCTGAGAAACCAGCGCTCGCTCGAGCATTCTTGCAGTCGCTATCCGTGCACTCCAGGTCCATCAATTCTTTTCCAAGCAGCCCGCCCAATACGCCTGTGCGCGACATTGGCAGCGCCAGAAGACTCGAACCGGTGGCAGCCGCACTCCCAAGGTCCGGATCCCGACGTGGGGCCCACCCTCGGGCCCAGCAGCATTGCCAAGAAAACTCACCACAGCTTGCGTTTGGCCTGCACTCCCGCTAAAGTGGATCCATACGCAAGCTCCAGGCGATCACAGAAAATCGGCACGACTTGCTAAAGGGCCCACGCCTCTGACGAGGCGACTCCCTTTGCACGCCCTCTGCCTCGGACACAGAAGCCCCTGGCCTGTGATGTGTCAGACATCAGATCCGAAGGGCATCTCCTGTCCATCACATCAATCACCTCCTGTGCGAGCCTCCTCTCCAGTTGCCCTTCGACACTGAGAGCAGACCGAGGTGTCGAAACGTACAGTCGTGGGCCTGATGTGCAAAGGTCCGACCATACGACCACATTCGAGCACTCGCTCGTTGCCCTCCTTAATGAGATGCAACATGCGAGTCTTTTTATGCTGGAGAAAACGATATCCTTCAGGAGCACATGGAACTGTCAGCTTACGAACTCGAGGCACTTCCAAATCCGAAGATTCGCTACCGGAGCTGTCAGTGGTGACATGCTCGGAATCCGCAGCTCGCTCGGTAGCAGCTGCCTCTTGTTCGTCTTCTGATCCCAAGATTTCAACAGTTCCATCCCCTAGATCGCCGGTGAGCTCAGCCTTAACAGCCTCTGGCCCAACGCTAGTGCGAGAATCACCCGTCTCAGGCCGATTCTCTCCTGCGAGAGGTGCATGCTCTAGAATCTCACGTGCTGGACCCCTGAGACGCCCAGACCGCGTGCTGTCAGGGAGGTAAAAACCACTCCTGATTTCCTCAAGCATCACTTCCAGCAGTCGCAAGCTCCTTGCAGCACCATCCCGAGAGTACACAAGTGCCATGCGACCCGGCACTGAATGGTACCCCATCTGGAGCCTGTCTTCAATAGAATACCCGCGCTTAGCAGCCATAGAAAGCAGCGTTGCCTTGAAAGAGTGGCTTGTGATCCTGTTGGGACAGCCTTCAGCAGGTTCACAATCTAGGAGGCGACGAACCCACTTCCCAGCCTCTGAAGATGAAAGCGGTCTGCTGAGAGGTTTTCCCTCTTGATCCGGAGCAGGCATTAGGCAGTGACCTGGCGGATTGTCTATGCCCAACTGCTTCCGGACTCGCATCCAAGTGGAGACCCACTCTTTGTCAGCGACGCCCAAGGCAATGGACACCATTGGTAAAAACTGGAAACGGTGCTGAGATGAATGCATCGTCTTATGACTCGCCACCGTAATTTCCAAGTACGCGATGTTTCCTAGGGTGTCATAATCCAGGGCCCACCTGCACACATGCTGTGCGTCGCCCCACCTACTGCGGGCGTAGGCCACACAAAGTGTGGCACCACAGAACAATCTGTTCCACGGGTCCTCATCTTCGCTGTCAAGCCTCCTGTGGAGCTCCAACAGTTGCTGGACCGTGAGCGGTTGGGCCTGCTTCCTGTCCCTGGGCTCATCCGATTTAGTGGCGCCCAAACAACGACGGCTAGCAGTAGCAAGCTCAAGCCCTGCCACACCGAGCACGAACCTCGAAAAGACAATGGCTTCGTGAAAACCTTTCAGCCTGGATGCAGGAGCTCCTAGGGCCCTTTCCGCTCGAAGGAATTCGTAGAAAAGCTTCTCACTGATAGGATAGGCTGGCGCGCCTTTCTCCTGCAACCAATTGGCGACTTTCGCCAAAGCCCGGGCCCTCTTGAGCAGCGTCGATGGTGCACGACCACGGAAGAAGTCTTCCAGCAGCCCAATCTGCCCTTGCACAGATTCTTCCTCGCACAGCATCCGCCTCACCTCGCAGTCGACATCCCAACGAAGAATCGTGTGGAGCCACAGCTTAACGGATCTGTCGAAATCAAGAGTCCTCTGCTCTTCCCAAGAGACATCCAAAGACTGCGACACAACAGCCATGAAGACTCTGTCTTGCCGAGGCTTCGAAGACAGTGAAAATAAACCCGAAGAAGTAGGCACTAAGGACTCCTCTGGTTGGCCAATAGTCGGCTGCACAGGTCTGTTGAAAGCAGGTGTCACCTGCTGCAACCAGTCACCTGAAGCAGCAGCACCAAACAGCGCACTCCAGACCCCTGATTCCCATGGAAGCGACAGTGTAGCCTTCGCCGGTACCGCATGAAAAGCAGCCGACAGAGCAGTCTGATACCCTTCAGCAGTAACCCGAGGCGAGGCTGCAGGTACTGAGGGATGCAGTTCCACAAGACTCCACTGGGATTGCTTATGATGGCTCTCAACATCGGATGATGGGAAGTCCTCGGCAACTTGCTGGTACCATTGCACCTCAGCACTGGCATCGTCCTCAGAAGCAGCAGCCTCAACTCCAAGTTGAGAAGCATCTTCAGACACTGCCTGGAAGTCTCCGCCCGAGTCCAGCAGAAGCCAAGGGTCGGGAGTCCGCCTCCCAGCCTCATCACAATCCTGATTGGCATGACTAAGCTGATCACCGAAGTCTCCCCCATCAATCTGAAGATCAGCGGGAAACTCGTGCTCCAAGGCAGCCAGGTCGGCATCCTCCAACACGGAGGGGTCCATGGTCGGGCAGGCAGACACAAGAATGTCAGGAGTTGGCACTGATACAATTGCACATAAGCCAAAGCAGAGCATAAGGGCTTGTGGACGACCTTCACTGCACGAAGCATGAGCCTTGCAAGAAGACAGAGTCCTGCAATTTCACGACGCACAGCAGACATCTCAGGTGTGCGTGACACAGCCCTATGGCGAGCGGTATGGCTGAAAATTGTGGAAACTCAGCTGGCAGGATCGATCCCTAAGAGGCGCTCAAGAGCGCCAACACGGCGCATGAGGCTGGTATGGAACCGAGGTCCCACAATGTGGCCAGTCGCATCCTCCAACATGTCGATTCTGCCACCAAGTGCCACACATGTAGACTCGAGGCTACGAAAGCGTTTGGAAACAGAAAGAGCGTCATCAGAAAAAGGAGGCTCATGAGACAAAGCAGGCTCCAATGGCGTGAAAGCAAAAGCTCTCGTGGATGCATCAGCGCTGAATGGCCCACAGAGGGCGCGCCGCTGGTTGGGAGTCAAAGAATTGAAGACCTCCAACCACGGGCGTTCAACGCCTAAGTCGCCACTTGAGCTCCCGACGATGGAAATGTCCTCAGAGGAACCAGAGCGCTCCCACACCAAGCTAGTGGCCAGCTCGGCGTATGGTTCCTGACAGCCCATCATATCGCAGTCAAAGCGTGCTCGAGCATCGTGGTCAACAAGAGACCTGGTGCGATCAGCCTGAGGATGCAAAGCGGTATGCTTCCAGAGATTAGCCCGAGTGAGCTGACAAGAAGAATCAGCCACAGTAGCTCCACCGAAATCGGCAGAAGTGGTGGCCATTCTGGTGTCGAAGGCACGAAGCGGTTTAGTGACTGCAAATGGGCTCGAGAAAAAGAGCTAGAATGTGAAGTTTTGCAAAGTCGACATAAAGAGATCGGCAAAACTGGCCCTTCAATTTTAAGAAGTCGCAGCATTCTCAAGTCGACGTGTAAAGTCTGGGAGGCCTGACACTGTAATTGCCTGGCGACAGGGCAGAGCCGAGATTATCGGTCTAGTCCTGCAAAGCAATTTCGAAGCGACCTAACCAGCTCAGTGACACGGAGCTCCAGACTCGAGACTCGATCGGCAAGCCCGAAAAAGGCTCGAGAGATCCCTGTGATCTCGCGTTGAAGAGTTTCTCTGGGCACAGGATCAGCGGCAATCAGGCGTTGTTCCAGAACAGTCACACGCTGCTCTAACTCCCACACATGGTCAGAGAGCAGCAAGAAAGTATCATCAGTGCTAGCTCGCTCTGAAGACCCAGCAGCCGGCTCGTCATCAGGAGGCAGATTGCTGAGATCTGCCCCACAGTCAGAGGAACTCTCAGGGGCTGACGGGTCCATGTTCTAAAAATGCAACGGACCTGTGCCCTGCAATGCCCTAAAAGCGCTCGCAGCCAGATGCATGCACTGCTCAAACACTGAAAGCAAGCGGCGCAAACAGCGCCCGAATGCAGGGAAGTGGCATGCAAGTTCTCTGCAAAGTGCACATGAGCCGCAGTTTTGCGCCCAGTCTGAGGGTTGCACAGTCAGCTGGACGTCGCCAGCATCTACGTGACGAAATCTGCAAAACCAGGCGCCAATGCGAAGCAGACAACAGAAATGAAGTGAAGCAATCTGAGGTATGGACCAGAGCGGTCCAGATTGGAATCACTGCGACACTGCAAATTATCTGTCAAGCATGGCAAAAGGCCTGTCTTGAAGCAACGCTCAGCACTCACTTGGGCGTGAACGGCCTAAGCGAGCTTCCCTGGCCTTGCAGACCTGGGAAACAAGAATGGACCTCATGCGTCGCCAGTCTGCAGAGACAAGCGGGTAACGGCTTGAGCGACTTCACCCATGGCCTGCTCGGTCTCGGACATGCGATCTTCCAGGCTGGTTAAGCGAGAAATCACAGCGGCTCGGAGAACCACAAACTGATCGCTAAGGCGCTGAACCTGGAACAAGAGGCCCGCGACGTCATCTGCCACCGGTGACAATCGAGAGCCCACACGAACTTCCAAGTCCTGAAGATCACGAAGCGAAGCATGAAAAGTCGGGTCCGCAAGAGGCGGCTCAGGCTCCACTGCAACATCCTCTGTGCCATCATCAGCGTTCCCTGCAGGAGTCGTGGCGTCACACACTGATTCGGAATCGCTGACAGCCAGAGAGACGTCCATTGAGTCGACAGCCCGAGAGCCACCCCTACCCCCAAAAACTTCCACCAGCAGCGAGCCAGTGCTTCAGCGGCTCACAAATCAGAGGCAACTGCAAGCACGACTCCTACACATGTACTGTAAAATAAACGACATGTGAGAAAAGCGTGAAGTAGAAAAAGAGAAACTTTCGCAAGCACTATTTCAAAACCAAAAGGTTCTTGAAATTTTGTGTTTGGAAAAATAAGGTGATTGTCACCTCCGGTGAAATAGCACTTGGCGAAGACTTGACCACTCAGGTTGCCGATCAGGAGGTAGAGATGATCGTGTTCGGTCATCGGGAGCCGCTGGCACCCAGCGACCTCGGTTTCGCAACTGATGTGCCAATTCTTGATGCGCCGGCCCCTGCACCTCCAGAGTCTTCAGCAGATCCCGTGTTTGAGGATTTCTTCGGTGAAGCAATGCAGGAGGCCGATGTTGAGTTAGGCGGCGGGGCTGAAGTTGAGTCAGCCGGCGGGGCTGCAGCTGAAGCAGCCGGCGGGGGCGAGGCACGCGATGGTGCCCTTGATGATGCAGTGATGCAAGGGGCACTCGCTGACGAACGCGAAGCCCAGCCAGACAAGATTGTTGTCGATGATGTCGAACTGAGTCTTGACAGCACCCTGTCAGTGCTTCGCCGTGCATGCCAGAGCCTTGGTGTCGGGAAATCAGGCTCGAAAGCCGTGGTGTTCCGTAGGCTGTGCAACCAGCTTGACAGGCTTAAGCTGATTGAGGCTAGTCGCGCCGCTGAGGTTCCGAATGCACCTGTGCCCAATGTGCCGGCAGCTCCGAAGGAGCCCACACCAGAGCAGCGACGAGCCCACGAGGCTGTACACGCCCCATATGAAGCATGGTGCCAGCACTGCGTGGCCTTTAAAGCAAGGGATGACATGCACAAAGCTGCCAATACTGATCGCAAATTTCCTGTGATATCCTTCGACTACGGCTTCACTGGCCGATCGGAGGAGGATGGCCCTCACAACAAGCTTGCCTTTCTGTGTCTTCACGATTCTGAGAGTGGCTGGCGAGAGGCCATCCCGGTGCCAGGCAAGGCAGGCGTGCATGATGGGATCAATGTCACCAGCTACCTTGCTGCTGAGATTTGCAGGTTGCTTAGCATGCTAGGCTACTCCAAAGTTGTGCTTCAATGCGACCCCGAGCCCACATGCTTGAAGTTACACAATGAGGTGAGGCGCATGCGGCTACAGCTGGGTTTGCAAACTGATGTGCAGCAGTCAGCTGAGGAAAGCCACCAATCCAATGGAGGTGCCGAGGTTGCCGTGCAAACGCTGCGGCAGCAGTGCAACACTCTGCTCTCGATGTACGAAGCAGAGACCAAGCTTAAGGTCGCAACGGCCCACGCTCTCCATTCATGGTGCCTCCGGCACTCTTCTTGGATCCTGAACAGATTTGTGCTGCGACCCGGAGGGCTTACTCCTTTCGAGATCATACATGGCCGTCCTTACAAAGGGAAAGTGCTACCGTTTGGCGAAACTGTGATGGGATTGGTTTCTCCCGGGCCCAAGGGCAAACCGCGGTTCATCCAGGCCATCATGATCGGAAAGTGCACTCCGAATGATGAGTTCATCTTGTGTTCTGGAGCCGGCAAGCTCATGTTGGCCCGCACCGTGCGCCGGCTTGCCACTGGCTTCACTCCAGCCTTGCACGACTGTGTCCGTGATCCTCCTTGGCGCCACCCCGGGTTTGTAGCGGGTTCCTTAGGTAGGTCCCGAGCCCAACGCAAGCCGAAGGTCCTTCCGGCTGGCGGTGACGCAAGGTTGGTAGTTGAGGATCAGCTTGGTGGGGTTTCCGACTTGCTAGGTGAGCTCGCGCCCTTGCCTGAAGGTCCTGGAGAGATCCCTGAGGATGCGCGCGATTACAGCCCTTCTCAGGAAGCCGCTTCTGATCCTGAGAGTTCTTCGCAGATGAGTGAGGATGACCCCGATGGTCACCGTTCCGGTGAGGTTGCTGCTCCCGCTTCTGGCGGCACTGACGCCGCAGAGCTTCCGTTGCAGTCTGGTGCCCTCGTTGCACCGCAGGCTGTTGCTACAGGTGATCCTTTGGTGCAAAGCAGTGCCGGTTCTACTGAGCCTATGCCAGTTGACCCTGCCACTTCAGTTGCAAGGGAACGTCCCAGGCCAGCAGGTGAGGAGGGTGCTCCAGGTCCTGAGCCCAAACGTGCAAGGATTGCAGCCGCAACTGTGTGCGGTGTGGAGTACCACCATGCCGACGAGGATTCCGATCTTGCATTCTCCCCAGCGGACATTGAAAGCATCAATGATCTTGACGGCCTGTGTTCAGATGATGAAGAGGAGGAGTGTGAGCAAGGCCTTGCCCCTCCTGATGAGCTTTATCGACCCTTCTCACCACATGAGCCTGCCCTGAGCCCCGAGGAACTTGCTGACCTTGATGCGCTGTGCGACCACCACGAGATAGCTAGGCTCAAGGCAATGGGTGTGATCTACCAGCCTGAGTCAGGCAATGAGGACTGCAAGTCATTGACGGTGAAGTTCGTTCGCAGCTGGCGACCGAAAACGCATCCGGTCACTGATGCCCCTGTGTGGCTCAGGAGATCTAGGCTAGTGGCCCGGGAATTCAGGTTCAGAGACCCCCTCAGGGAAGGTTTATACAGCCCTGCATCCCAAACTGCGCTGCTCAAGCTTCTGCCAGGCTTGTACATGTCTCGCAAAGGGTATGCCCTGTTGTCCTGTGATATATCAGACGCCTACTTGACTTGCGAGCAGCCGTGCCCGACCGTGGTGACGCTCCACGGCACTACGTACCGTTTGGCATTTATGCTACCGGGGCAGCGGGATGGCTCAGCGGTCTGGTTTTCCACCTTCACCAAGTATCTGGTTTCGGAGGGCGGAGTTTCGTTGTGGCCCGGATGCGAGGCGCTGTTTGCTATGCGCAACCACTCCGGCGGAGGACTCCTTCACGTAGACGACTTGTTGGGGTCAGGCGAGCATGCTGAGCTGCAGAGACTTGCGCAGATCATAGAGTCAAAGTACAAGTGCACTCTTGAGTGGCTTGTTTGCGAAGGCGACAGCTTGCACTTCTTGAAGCGCAAACATACTTTGGCCCGTCAGGATCTGCTTTGCATTCAGAAAGCTGACAAACATATCATGAAACTTGTTGAGCTTTTGCAGCTTGAGCGCCATTCCCCGAAGCCCACTCCGTTGCCATTGCAGACACTTGATTTGGCCAAGTCAGAGCCTCTCCCAGAGGATCAGGTGTCGGTTTACAGGTCGTGCATCGGGATTCTGATGTACATCTCTGCGGACACTGCCGATATGCAACATTCCATTCGCATGCTCTCCCAGCACCTTGCCTGCCCAACCGAGGCTTGTATGAAGGCCCTCAAACACCTGGTTCGATATGCTAAATCAACCAGCGGGTTTTGCCTTGGGCTGGAGCGCACGCATGCAGGACATGGCACCAGAGTCCAGTGTGATACCGGCGCCGACGTGCTGGAGCTGTACACAGACTCCGACTGGGCTTCAGATCACACCACACGCCGGAGCGTGAGCGCTGGGGCCTTGTACTTGAATGGGAATGCGATTTATACGGCGAGCCGCACGCAACGAGTCGTAGCTATGTCAAGCTGCGAGTCGGAGCTCAATGCCCTTGTGTCTTTTGCAGTCGACTTGATGTATGTGAAGGAGGCCCTGCGGTTCATTGTTGGAGTCACTCCCGAAAGCCATGCCTTCAGCGACTCTTCCTCAGCTCGTGCTGTTGTGAACAAGCAAGGGCTCTCCAAGCTCAAACACGTCGAGATCAGATTGCTGTGGGTTCAACAGGCCCTGAAGGATGGAGCATTCAAGCTCCACCCGGTCGGGACCCTTGACAACTCTTCGGACTTGATGACCAAGGTGCTTAAGCGTGAGCGAATGCTGTACTTGATGTACCTCTTGAATATCAGGGATGGTGATGCTCAGTTCAATCGCGTCGGAGAGGCCCAGGCCGTTGCTCGTGACAACAACCTGTCCTTGAAGCTTGCGGTTAAGGCAGTGAAGGCATTCAGGGGACCCCCGCAACGGGTGCATGCGCTCCTGCAAGCGCTGACCTTCATGTCCTTGATCGATGCCAATCAGGCACGCATGCTTGACTCCGAGAGCCGTCCGCATGTGCTTGAAAGCGCCTTGAGCGGTTGCGGATTCATCCTTGTGTGCATCGGATGCCTCGCGGTGCTATGCATGAGCCTGCAGGGTTGCCAAGCTGAGATTGCAGATGAGTCCCCGACCCATGGGTTGTATGGTTCACCCTAATCGTAGGATTCCTCATAGGTCTAGGGTTTTGGTTTGTGTTGCCAAGTGCCGAGCTGCAGCAACAGATGCCTTGTGAACCCGACGACGCCACCACACCTGCTTGTGACGACGACGCGCCGACCTTGAGCGATGACATTCCTTCAGATGGTGAGCTTGCGCAAACACCCGATGTGACCAGAGCATCCTCTGATGAGCCGCTGTCAGAGCCAACGCAGAGCAATGATGGGGCAGGCGATGGCAACAGCCACCCTGCTTCACCCACTGCCCATGATCCGATCGACGAGCCTGAGAACCATGCCTTGGCAGCAGTGCCGATTGCAGTTGTTGATCCTCCTGGATTCCCTGCTGCTGTCGATCAGCTGCTTGTGTATCATGCGCCGATCTCTGGGCGCAGATGGCATGTGTTCCGAGGGTGTTGGGGTTTAAGTAGAGCTGCTGTCATTGCTGAAGAAGAGCTTGGTGTGCTTTTGCGACGTGATCCCAGGATCACGATGTGCTTGATCTGCATGAACCGAGTTCGCAATGACTTGCGATTCCCAATGCTTCGGATTACCGATGAAGCCGACGATCCACGCCGAGAACACCCCGAACCCGAGCCTTTCCAGTAGTTTGTGGTTTAGTCCCTTCTTGTAAAACAAGCTTGAGACTATCCTTGAGTTGCGACTTCAATGCACTTGTGGGGTTATCCAATGCTTTGGACGTCCATGTTACCAGCCA